AGAAGGCTAAATACTAAGGTATTGGTTCTTCCAAAGTTTTACTAAAAGCCCATTCGAAATACAAATACGCCTTTAGTTATCCACAAAAGGATTTAATAGGCTTTATAATCTTGTTAAATGTAATTCATGACTATTTAAAAAATGGTGAACAAAAAATTATAAAGTAAAAAACAATGGTATCTAGGAGTTTGGAGAATTTCCAACAATGATTCTATAGTTTTCCTAGAGGAATAAACAAGAGATAATAGTTAAGAAAAAATTTTAAAGGAGTGTAAGAGAAGAATTTGCCCTGCCAGAAATCAAACCTGTAAAAATTCAAACAAGATAGTCTTATAAAAAATCAACACACAGATGAATGCATTATGACAGATGTATACATAGGAATTAAAATTGGCTCTAGTATGTATAAGAATTAGTGTATCAGGAAAGAAAACCTAAATAATAGATATGGTTTGAATATTCCACAAATAATGTTGAGGAAAATTACCTATTAGTCAAAAATCAAGCCAGAGACTGATGCTGTATTATACACCCAAATACATTTCAGATTAACTTAAAAATCAAATGAAAGAATTCAAACAACAAAAATTAGTAAAAATACAGATTACTACTTAATCTAAGACCAGGGAAGGAAAGCATAAAAACTATGAAAAAAGGTTAAAATATTTGTACTACACCATCTTATATAGTCATTAAAAATAAAGTTCTTTTGAAGATTTTTTAGAAATCATGGCAAATGCTCATGAAATGATGAGAAGAAAGCAGGATACTCATGCCTTTAATCCTAGCACTTTGGGAGGCTAAGGCAGATCATGAGGTCAGGAGTTCAAGACCAGCCTGGCCAAAAAGGGTGAAACCCCGTCTTTACTAAAAATACAAAAATTAGCCAGGCATGGTGGTATGTGCCTATAATCCCAGCTACTAAGGGGCTGAGGTGGGAGAATCACTTGAACCCAGGAGGGTGAGGTTGCAGGGAGCTGAGATCATGCCACTCTACTCCAGCCTGGGCTACAAAGCAAGACTCCATCTAAAAAAAAACAAAAAAAGAAGAAGAAAGAAAGAAAGCAGGATATAAAACTGGATCAGAATAAAATGCATATTAAATGGTTAAAAAGGCCAGTGCACTGGCTCACACCTGTAATTCCAGCACTTTGGGAGGCTGAGGCGGGCAGATCACCTGAGGTCAGGAGTTTGAGACCAGCGTGGCCAACATGGTGAAACCCCGTCTTTACTAAAAATGCAAAAAATTACTCAAGCGTGGTGGCAGGCGCCTCTAATCCCAGCTACTCTGGAGGCTGAGGCAGGAGAATCGCTTGAACCCGGGAAGCAGAGGTTGCAGTGAGCCGAGACCACGCAGACTCCAGAGACAGAGCGAGACTCTGTCTCAAAAAAAAAAAAAAACCAAAAGTGTAAAAACCTACATAAACTACATATACACATAAAAAGATTGGTAGATACACCAAGATGTCCCTTCATCTCTTGGGTGATAATCATCTCTGGATGGTAGATAATAGGTAGATTTTTACTTTCTTTTTTCTTTCTTTATTTCTTCTTTTTTGAGATGGAGTTTTGCTCTTGTTGCCCAGGCTGGAGTGCAATGGTGCAATCTCAGCAACCTCTGCCTCCTGGGTTCAAGTGATTCTCCTGCCTCAGTCTCCCGACTAGCTGGGATTACAGGCACCCACCACCACCCCCAACTAAATTTTGTTTGTATTTTTTTTAGTAGAGATGGGGTTTCACCATGTTGGCCAAGCTGGTCTTGAACTCCTGACCTAGGTGATCTACCCGCCTTGGCTTCCCAAAGTGCTGGGATGACAGGCATCATTGTGCCTGGCCTTTACTTTCTACTTCAAGTTTTCAGAGTTTCCTCCATATTTTCTACTATGATCATTTTTTTAATAATAAAAATATAACTTTTTTCCAAAAAAATTTGGCAGGATGAGACTATGAAAAAACAGACCAGGCTGTTTTATCACACTTGTAATAGCAGCACTTTGGGAGGCCAAGGTGAGAGGATCACTGGAGCCCAGGAGTTCGAGACCAGCTTGGGCAACATGACAACACCCCGTCTCTACACAAAATTTTTTAAAAAAGAAAAAAATAGCCAGGCATGGCAGCACATGCCTGTAGTCTCAGGCACAGAACCTGGGAGGCTAAGGCAGGAGAATCGCTTGAGCCCAGGAGGTTGAGGCTGCAGTGAGCCATGATCGCACCACGGCACTCCAGCCTGGGTGACAGACAAAGCAAGTTCCTGTCCCAAATAAAAAAAAAAAAAAAATCAAATTCATCCACTAAAAAGCAACAGCTTAGAAGTATACATACATAGATGTCAAACGTGTTTCACATGTATGACCTATTTAACAATTTTTTTAAGTTAAAAAAAAAAAAGGTTTTTGGCTTTGTTCTGTGTCTGTGGGTGGTTTATTTTTTTTTTTTTTTTGGTTTGTTGTTGTTTTTTTTTTTTTTTAAGACAGAGTCTCTGTAGCCCAGACTGGAGTGCACTGGCGCAGTCTCGGTTTACTGCAACCTCCGCCTCCCAGGTTCTAGCAATTCTCCTGACTCAGCCACCCAAGTGGCCAGAATTACAGGCACATGCCACCACACCCGGCTAATTTTTTGTATTTTTAGTAAAGATGGGGTTTCACCATGTTGGCCAAGCTGGTTTCAAACTCCTAACCCCAAGTGATCCACCTGCTTCGGCCTTCCAAAGTGCTGGGATTACAGGCGTGAGCCACCACGCCCGGCCTAACCATGAGGTTTTGTAGGAGCAGTGGAACCAACACAGACAACCTCTCAGGTACCATACTGCCTGAGCCCCTCCTCCTACCTTTGAGAGGCAAGGAAGAGGGGGCTGGTACTTCCTCCTCTGGCCCTACCAGGAGGATGCCACCATCTGGTATGGGGTTCCTCACCCTTTAGGCAGAGAAGCCAGATTTGCACACTAACTTGGCCAACAGCCTGGTCCCTTCCTAAATGAGCTATGAGGGCCTATGAGAGCCATCTCTTCCAAAAGGCCCTACTGTCCAGCCTGTGGGCTGTCAGGCATGTGCAGCAGCCCTACAAAGCGTTCCCTGGGCCACTGTGAACTTACCACTCCATTGGCCAAAACTACATGAGACCAGGAATGAGGGGGGCAAGAGTCAGGAACAGGTTCCAGAAAGTCTAGTTTGAAGTCCCTGAGGTTTGTTCCACTCCAAAGCCCTCTGAACTACTGTTCCTACAGTCTGACCTTAGCACCCATGAAATAAAACCATTTCCCATGGTCACCCTTGAAACTAGTCTTTGTCTCCTTCCCGCCATGAAAGTTCTCTCCGTGGGAAAGCCCCTCCTGTTCTCCATAAAGCATCCTTTCCCCTTTGCTCTCTGCGAGGTGCTGTACCAGCTTGTCCCTCATGTGCTTCCCTTCACTGCTCCGAGCAACCACCTGTCCTCTGTCTCTATCCCTGGGAAACACTGCTTTCCTCCTGTTCCCCCAAGAAGCCATTCCCGGATCCATAACTCCTGCTTCTTCTACCCCAAGAAATAGTCTCATCTTAGTTCTCACCAAAACCAGAGGCTGTCTCCACTTCAGGTTATCAGATTTAGCAAAAAGAAATACTGCGCTGGGCATGGTGGCTCATGCCTGTAATCCCAACATTTTGGGAGGCTGAGGTGGGCAGATCACTTGAGATCAGGAGTTCGAGATCAGCCTGGCCAACATGGCAAAACCCCATCTCTACTAAAAATACAAAAATTAGCCGGGCATGGTGCCTCATACCTTTAATTCCAACTACTTGGAAGGCTGAGACACAAGAATCGCTTGAACCCGGGAGTTGGAGGCTGCAGTGAGCTGAGATCGCACTACTGTACTGCATTCCAGCCTGGGCAACTCCATCTCAAAAAACAAACAAACAAAAAACAAACAAAAAAACCAAAGAAAGAAATACTAGACACCCAGTTAAATTGGGATTTCAAATAAATAACCAGTATTTCTCAGTGTAAATATGTTCCATCTATTTTATCCACCCCAGCTCCACTCTTGAAATATTTCTCCTTCTGCCACTCATAAGAAACACTGTCTTCTTTCTGTTCCACTATAAAACACTCTGTCTCCCGAAACCTCTGTGAAATAATGCCCTCTAAGCCCCTGAAACATGAAGCAATAACCAAAAGGGACAAACTGTTTCTTTCCTGCCCTCTCAATCCCATCCCTCAAGCTCCTTAAAGCTGCCACCCATTGCCTCTTTGGGGAGTGGACACTCCACTACCCCTGTCTCCACACAAAACATCATCTTTTCTCTGTGGGCTACCTGTTCCCTAGAAGGTGATGGCACTTCTGTTATCAAGTAAAACACTTTTCTTCTGTTTCCCACCATAGTCGTATCTGATCCCAACTGCCACTTACTTAGTTCTTAGTGGGCACCAGATTCTTACAACAGCCCTATGAAGTAGGTATTATTATTATTATTATTCCAGTTTTACAACTGGCTCTAGATCACACCATGTTAAGGCAGTCAGATTTGCTTATAGGTATGCCTGACTTCAGAACCTTAGATAAACCCAGATTTAACCAGCATTTCCTGGACATTCAGCTTTGTTAAAAATCTCATGAGCAGCCAAGTTGCCACCTGCTGCACACTAGAGCACACACCTGCTCCTCCATCTCCCCCATGAAACACTGTTGCCTCAGCAAAGCCCACAGAAAGCTCTCCACTGGCCCCCTTTCCCACCCCAGAGAATACTATCTTCTTCCATCTCCCTTCAGGGCACAGTCCCCTTGGCTGTGAACTCCTACACTCCCAGAAGAGGGTCACAGTCAGGCTGTGCTGCCCACATGCCTGGCATCAGGAAACGGGCTGGGGCAAAGGGCATGCCTGCGGTCCCTGTAGCTGGCACTCCAGTCCCTCCCCACCCCTTTCTATAAATAGACCACCGCTCACTGGCTGCCGGAGCAGTTGCAGCAAGTTTCCATGAGGTCAGCTTCCCAGAGTAGCCTCCAGGCACCCAACACCCACACTTACCTCCCCTGGAGTCCTGTGGCCTGCTTGCCCCTGCAGTGGGCTGTCCCGGGTGCCGTGTCTCCGCCGGGCAGGGGGTGTCGGCACCTGGACAGAGGCCTGAGGTGGGGCCTTCCCTAAGCTCTGGGCCCCACATTCTGGAGCTTGACTCAGAGAAGAAATGGGCTTACTGTCGGTGGTGGCCTCTCCTTTGGGCTTTGGAGGGGCGAATCTCTTTCTGTTGAAAGGCCTAGTCGTCTGGGGGGTGAAGGAGTGTGTGGGCTGGCCAGGAGCACCAGGCACCCCCTCATCTCTAGCCCCAGTGGGTGCCTTCCCCTTGAGACTCTCTCCAGGTGCCTGGACACTCAGGGTCTGGGGGCCGTGTTCCCCCAGAAGCCTGACTGCCCGGGTGTTCTCCAGGTACATGTCCTTCAAGGAGAAATACACTTCCTGGCCTGGGCCTGGGCCTGGGCCTGGGCCTGGGCCCGGGGCCTTCTGGGCCTTGTCTGGAGTGCCCACAGCAGAGGCTGGCTTCCTGGTACTATCTGTGCCAGAGGACCCAGGCCCCCGTGCAGCCCTGCCTCTGGGCTGGGTCTGAACCTGCTCCACGCCCGCGGGCCCCTGAGTCCCACAGGAGTCAGGCTCGTCTGAGTTGGGGATGCAGTTTTCTGAAGAAAGGCGGCTTCGAGCTGCCTTCTCTAACTCTGGCTTCCGCAGGCCTTGCTTGGATTCCTCATCTTTCTTTTTCTTCTTGGCCCCACTCTCCTCTTTGAGGACTCTCTGCGGCCCCAGCTCCATGGCGTCACAGATGTATGTCAGCAAGCCATGCTCTCCATCCTCCCCATTCTCGGGGACAGCCTCCCCGTTGGTGGTCACTTCTCCAGGAGCAAAACTGTTGATCAGGCCCAAACCTGAGTGCTGAGCAGACTCAGTCTCTCCCTCCTGCCAAACCGCCAGGGTCCCACCCTCAGGATCCCTGGTAGGGACCGAGGGGTCCAGCCCTTCAGCCCCACTCAGTCGCCGCTTTCGCTGGAAGCGGTCGGGGCTGAGCTTGCGCAGCGTGTCGGCCTCCCCTGGCGCCGCCTTCTCGTGCTTCCAGCTCTGCTCGATCTCGCGCAGCTTTGCCGCAGCCTTGCGCTTCAACTTGGCGAACCAGCGCTGGTGGATCTTGTACTCGGTCATGGTTCCCACCTCCAGGACCCCTGAGCAGGACACAATGCCCTTGCTGTTCTGGGCAGAGGCCTGGTAGATGGCGGCATCTTCTTCTCGACACCTAGAGGTAGGAGCGTGAGGTGCCACCTCTCCCCTCCTGGGAGGTGAGAGCCCCCACACCCCCCAGCCAGAGCCGGGCATGCTTCCCCCTCCCCACTGCAAGCCCTGCTGTGTGCCACGCCCCATCTCACACGTCACAACATACAACACCCTCCATTACAGTTGAGGGAACTGAGGCTGGCAAAAGGGTGGCGGCTGACCAAGGCCATACTGTCCCAGGAGGGATTAGACTTGGGGCCCAGGAGAGCTCCCTTCAGAAGCATGTGACCAACACAGCCCCTTGTGAAGTCATGATGATACAGTTGCTTTTTTTGGCTGCTGACCTCATGGAAAATATTTCTGTAGGTCAGGACCTCCGCTGGTTGCACCAGCTCTCTGTCAGGAATACTCCCACCCTGGCCTTAGGAGCTCCCAGACACTGGAAGGCAGATGTGGTTCACCAGGTGGTTCAACCACACAGCAGAACCCCGCCCGCCATCCCCAGAGAGTGCCTGGGCATCTCCATCTAGACTACTCCATTTCTGAGGGCAGGACCCCAGCCAAAGGGCCCTCGGGAGGGCAGAGAGAGCAAAACAGGCCCTTCCCCTCACCTGTACAGCTGCAGTGTGTGGCGGTTGCCCTGATGAGTGATCTCATATTTTGGCAAGCCACAGTAGCGGTCCAGCTCCGTATCATCCTTGTACCAGGTCACCTCTGGCTCAGGGTATCCTGAGAAAGAAGCAGGAGGTTGGGTTGCAGGAAGGCCAGTTCCAAAATAATGGGAAGAGGCCAGGCACTGTGGCTCACACCTGTAATTCCAGCACTTTGGGAGGCAGAGGTAGGCAGATCACCTGAGGTCAGGAGTTTGAGACCAGCCTGGCCAACATGGTGAAACCCAGTCTCTACTAAAAATACAAAAAAAATTACCCAGACATGGTGGCGGGCTCCTGTAATCCCAGCTCCTTGGGAGGCTGAGGCAGGAGAATCGCTTGAACCCAGGAGGTGGAGGTTGCAGTGAGCCAAGATCTCGCCACTGCACTCCAGCCTAGGCGATAGAGTGAGACTCCATCTCAGTAATAATAATAATAATAATAATTATAATAATAATAATGGGAGGAGAGAACACGAGGCCATGGCTTCCCAGACCACCTGAAGAGACTGGACAGGACCACCTGCCCCAGGCTTGCTGGAAGAACAGAGCCACTGTATGATAGCTCAGCTTATTTTTAGAAGCTGGTCCCTGTCAAAGCTGAAAACAATTCCCCCTCAGCAGTAGGAAGGAAAATATGGAGGAGAAACTTCCTAGCTTCCTAATGGGAAGGGAGACAAGGAGTTTCCAGAAATCCCTGGCTCCTGGGAATAAGCTTCCTTCTATAGTGGCCCGTTCTACTTCCTCAACTGCAGTAAGGGCTCTATCTACAGAGATCTCCTCCCCCATGTCCCACCATGAGCATCTCTTCCAAGAGCCCTCCTTCTTTCATTTCAGGTTCCTGAGCTGTTAGGATTATTTGACAACATGGCTAAAGCATCTATCTGTCCACCCATTCATTCATTTACCTATCGTCCATCTGTCCACACATCTACACCTTCCTACCCACCCTGTCACTGCAGTGACACTGACTGAGGTGTCTGCCCAGCCCCTTCTCGGGCACTTCCAGCCCACCCACAGGAGGAGCTCCCAGCTGTTACTGTCACATATCCCTTATCTCTCTGTCCATAGTTGATTGGTTCAGTAATGGACAGCAAATCAGCTAATCTAGCTAATTATTTGACCAAGTATTTGGGAATTAGGACCTACAGACAGTCTACCATTGTGTCTGGAAATTTAGCTTCAAAAGAGTAGAGCAGCCATGTTCTGCCACGTGGACTGAGAAGCAAACACTACAGTGAGAGATGGAAAAAGGAAGTTGATGTTCAGGATTGAATAAGAAGTGGAAGACAGAGAGAGTTCCAAGATATTTCCAAGTACTAGTTCCATTCCTTGCCTGGGCACAGCTGCCCTCCTCTTGTCAATTCCATAAGAAGCCCCTCTGGACTTACCAATGAATGCTGATTCATATCTTAAGCTGACTGATCTGCATTACTTGCTCGAAATGAGACTGCTAACATACATTCACTCAAAGATATATATTAAGTATACATGAACAGCAAGCTAGGGTTATGAGGACACAGAACCACATGAGACAGGGTCTCTGCTCTCCAGGAGATTATTGTGCGAAAGAGAAGGTGAGACATGGCCAGGTGCAGTGGCTCAAGCCTGTAATCCCAGCACTTTGGAAGGCCAAGGCGGGCGGATCACGAGGTCAGGAGATCGAGACCATCCTGGCTAACACAGTGAAACCCCGTCTCTACTAAAAATACAAAAAAAATTAGCCGGGCATGGTGGCAGATGCCTGTAGTCCCAGCTGCTCAGGAGGCTGAGGCAGGAGAATGGCGTGAACCCGGGAGGCAGAGCTTGCAGTGAGCCAAGATCACACCACTGCACTCCAGCCTGGGCAACAGAGCAAGACTCAGTCTCAAAAAAAAAAAAGAAAAAAGAAAAAAAAGAAAAGGTGAGACATGGCATGCACCCGCACAAGGCAGCAATGCACCTAGCATCTGCACAGGTGCTCTGCCTTTCCTACTGCCTACAGATACACCATGCTCCTAAGTAAAGCTTCCCCTCACTGGATCCTACCTGCTCGTGCCTAATCAAGGACATTTCTCCAGCAATTATTCCAGCTCGCTCCTGCATCATCAAATTTTTCCTCTCTGTTACATATTTCCTATCAGCGTACAAGCCTGCTCTACCGTGTCCTTCTTTAAAAAGAACTTCCTTTGACCCCACAGCCTCCTCCAACCCCGCTCTTATTTCTCTGCTCTCTGCTTTACAGAAAAATTCTTTGAAAGAGCTGCCTGTACTCACTGTCTTCATTTTCCTTACTCCAGTCAGACTTTTATAGCCTCTCTTGAACCAGAATTGCTCTTGTCAAAGTCACCCATAACTTGTACATTGCCAAATCCAATTCCTATGCCCATCTGCCTAATCCATCAGCAGTACCAAACCCACTTCCTGAAACCTTTGCTTCACTTGCTTTTAGGACACCACTCTTTCTAACTACTCCTCCTACTTCACTGGCTGCTTTTCCTGAGCTCTTCATCAGTCCTCCCCTCCCACCTAGACCTGCCCCAGAGCTCAGGCCCCAGAACCATTTTCCATACTCTATCCCTACTCACAACCCAGAAGGTCCTAATTCTGTCCTGTGGCTTTCAAATATATGCATGCTTATGGACTCCCAAATTTCTATCTCCAGCCCAGTCTTCTACCCCAGTCATTATTTCTGACTGCATACCTGGCATTTCCACTTGAAGGTCTAAGAGGTATCAAGCTTACCATGTCCCATCCAAGCTCCTTAGTCTGCCCTCCAAGCCAGTTCCCACGAATCTTAGTAAATAGCAAGTTCATCCCTATATTTGGTTCAGGCCAAGACCTGGAGGCAATCCTGTATTCCTTGCCTTGTCTCACCTCTACTCCATCAAGCAATCTTGCTGGCCCTCCCTTAGAATATATCTAGAATCTGATCACTCCTTGCCATTCTGCACCAACAGCTTGGTCCACATTCCCATCACCTCACACCTCAATTCCTACAATAACCTCCTCACTGATCTCGCTGCTTGGCTCTCTTCAGCCCATTCTCAGCAGAAAAGACAGAGTGATCCTTTTAAATAATGTCAGATCATGGTGCCCCTTTGCTCAAAACACCCCAATTAGCTCCATTTCACGCAGCCCTCATGATCTGGGCCCTGTGACCATGCTGGCCCCACCTCCCTCCACTTTCCCCCAGCTTGCTGTACCCACTCATGTGGTCCTGCTGGCTTGCCTCACATACCATAGGAGCACCATGCCTTGACTCCTGCAGGGCTCTGTTACTTCTCTAGAGAGGCCTTCCCTACCACCCTGTGTAAAGCAGCAACACTGTCTCCCAGGCACTTGCTATTCCTCTTACTATGTTTATTTTTCTTCATAGAACACATTGCTACCTGACATATTATACACTTAGGAGTGTGTTGGTTTACGTCCATCCTTTCCATGACAAACATCAGCTCCATGACAGCAGGGACTTATCTGTGTTATTCACTGCTGTGTCCCCAGTTCCTAGAATAGTCCCTGGTATGGAATCAACACTCATTAAATATTTATAGATGAATAAATGAAGCAATGCACTAAGTGCTTAGGGCTGCAGAGAAGGGAGCAATCACCTCTGGCTAGAGACTCAGGAAAAGCTTTTGTAGTGAGTGGCACCTGAACTCAACTTGGAAGGTGGGCAGGATTTCAGGAAAGATGGGTTCTGTCCCTCCGATCTCCCGCTTCCCCTCAGCTCGCACATCACCTGTACTTCCCCTTCACAGCACTAATCACAATACTGTCATTGACTACTTCCTTGCCTATCTCTCCTGCTAGACTTAGGTCCCATGTGGGTAGAAACTGTATCTTGTTCACTGCTATATCCCCACCACCTAAGACAGTGCCTGACACTGGTGTGGTAATTACTTAAAAGAAATCTGTGGGACGATAAGTAAATGAGTGAGTAGGGTGAACACGCAAGGTGGATGGGAAGGGCATGCCTGACAAGGGAACCCCAACAGGAGATGGGGAGGGTGACAAGCAAAGGGCATGCTGGGGAACTGCGTACAGGAGCAGGGAGCAGGGGAGGCGAGGCTGCAGCAGCGTCGGCCAGGAACAAACTCTGGGCAGCCCTGGCTGTAAAGCGAGCCCCATGTTTCCACTGTGAGCTAAACCCCCTGGTTACATCACTGTGTATGTGGCCAGAGCCAGCACAGGTGTCCTCACCATCCTGTGAGATGATCTCATCCCTACAAGGGCCCAGCTCAGAGCCTCCCTACCCCATGACCCACCCAGCACAGCCTCAGTCTCCAGGGCATCTGAGTCCAGCCAGATGCTCGGGCAAGAGGGAAGGGGTGGGGCAAGGAGAGAGGAGCTGAATGGACCCCACAGCCCCAGGGCTGGGGCCTCAGCCTCCATGCCACCTTCTGGTGCTGCCTCTACACAGCGGGGGCCAATCCAATAGCTTAGGGGCTTCATAACCACAATGAGCTTTGGAAGCAAATTTATTTGGGAGAACACATTGCCTTGAGCCCTGAATAATGTGAACTATATCCTAAAATGCATAAAAGCAGGAGGGCTCTGGGTCCTTCACTCCCAACTATGCATTTGTGCATGTCCACAGGCAGGTGTGCACACACTTCCAGCCCTGGCCAGGAGAGCCCACAGCAGCACTTGAGCCTGTGGCCTTCCCTCGGCCCCTTCACACCCTGTGACAGCCAGCAGACCTGACTCAAGAACCCACCTTGGAAACTTGCAGCCTTGTCCCAACCATTCCCAGTTCACAGAAGCTCTGATTCAAAAGAATAATGAATGGAAATGTAAAGTTTTCAAAAAGCTTTCAAATACATAGAATTTCATTTGACCCTCAGAACACTCCTGTGCAAATGATTGCTAACATTAATGAAGGCTTACTATGTGCCAGATACTAAGCTGAATACTTCTCATGTATTATCTCATCTAATCCTCACAAAAATCCTATGAGGAATGCACTCTGCTTCTAATCTCCAATTTAAGGACGAGGAAATCCCAGCTCATGAAATTAAAGCTCTTGTCCAAAGTTATCTAGCTAGCAAGTAGAGAGCCAGAATTCAAATCCCTCTCTTCTATAACACAGGCCAGTATT